TGGAGGATGGAAGTTTATTAAGAACATGGACTCTCAAATCAGAACACGTGCTTTAACAACCTAACTGTATCATTGACCAACTGTTGCCTTGAGCAAATTAACCTTTCTATACCTTGATTTAGGGACAATGGTGGTAGCACCTTCATAAAGTTGTTATTGAACATTAGCTAAGATAATACATATAAGCCTCTCAGTGGGGTGGATGGCATTTGACGTATGGTTAATTATTACCATTATTATGGATTACAAGTTTATAATTATCACATATGTAATGATCCTATGATTTTAAATATTTTTCTTTATTCTCCAAGAGAAGTACTTTCTCAATCAGTATTACTCAAACTCATAAAATCTGAATAATAAACTAAAGCCATCTACCTATTTGTCAATCTCAATTTAAAACAATTCTATTAATGTAATTTTGTCATTACAATAATATGAAAGCCACACATATTCAGTAGAAGCTGTACTTTTATTTTTGAATTTTGTTCTTTTCCTGGGGCAGCAATATGCTGTATGATGCTCTTGCAATTCTGAGCAATGATATTCTACACTGTAATTTTAGCGCTATTTGATTGCAGATATTCAATAAATTTTATGAGATATGTAACACTTTATTATAAAAGAAGCTTTGCATTAGATGAATTTTCCCCACTGTAGGCTAATGTAAACTTCCTGAGCATGTTTAGGATAGACCAGGGTAAGCTTGGACTAATCTCTGATGTTTTTGACTTGAAGTATTTTAAGTTTTCAATAGGTCTACTGAGAAATAGCCTAGCTGTCAGCTGAGGAGCATCTTCACTGGTGTCTGGTTATTGTAGTTTTCTCTAGAGGATGCTCTGAGAGAAGAACCATGTCTGTCCCATTCATCAGGGAACCTGGATGAGTTTTAGCAGCATAGGAGCATAAACACTTTTATTATTGGATCTCCATTTGCATTCAAATCAGTGAAGCCCAAACTATGAGGAAGAGCAGGATATGCAACCTGTCTTTCTTGACCACCTAATTTGCACCCATACAGAAAAGAGAAAAATCTGGTTTTATTAGGATTTAGCAACAATAAACAGGAGTGGCTCAGGATGAGGCATGAGCCCATCCTGTATTTCTTTTAAAGCAAACTTACTGGAAGGTGGGGAGAAAATAACATCTGCCTTATTGAAAGAAGAGTAAAATAATATAAAACTTTTCCTACCATGAGAACCCTTGGTGACCTTATTTGAAATTCATCTGCACTTATTGTTCCTCATCGTACACTTTAATCCTTAATTATATCATGTCATGTTTTTCATTTTCAGGCATATTACTCATGTCTGCAAAGTGATTAGGACCAGGTGCCAAGAAATTCAATGACTTTAGTAATTATACCATATATTAAATTATTTACCTGATTATATTTGAAAAATAGGTTACTAGTTGTTGTCTAAAATGATCTTAGTTTGTTACAAAGAAAGATTAGTATTAACAAAACCTCAGTTGCCCGTGAACTAGCACAAACAATCAACAAGTGGGATCTCTTCTTATTAAAAAGCTTCTGCACAGCAAGAGAAACCACCAG